AACTCCTCCTTCACCCAGACGACATCTCCATGACCTCACAAGCACGGCCAAAGAATTCATTATTGAGCCCGTTGGAATAACTCTGCAGGGAGTGAAAGAGAGTATAACAAGATGACCCAAAAACCTCAAAAAAAACAAGTTTTCTAAAAATCTGAAGTTAATATTAACAACATATAAATACTCACTGTGAGAGTGTCTCAGCCCCAACTGACTGATCAACCATTGGCAAAAGCTTGATCAGTCTGTGCTGGTAAGCTGGAGGGAAGTACCGAAGGTCATTTGTGTTTATTGAGGAGGGCTCTAAGGTTGACACTGTAAGGATTGGAGTCTGGTGTTTCCAAGTCCACATCTTCCTTCCTTTGTCTGTGCCAACTGTGCTGCTGCAGATAATTTACGTTGAGACCTGAAACAAAAAGGGGAGTGGCATTATGTGTGATGAGTGCACTAAAGCCTTAACCATCACCACCAGGTCAACAGAATACCGGTTTCCGTGACCAATTTGGCCCAGGTAAAAGATGGTAATATAAAGTCATTTGTACCCAGGACCAGTATGAAACAAAAAGTGGCCCTTTTTCTGAACATGATAGAGCCATATTAATACCACACACTTCAAAATTAAGGCTGATATTTGCTCTTCCCATAAAAAGTATATATTAACCCCTTGGTGATGGGTTAAGAAAACTTTCGGTACATCAGGCCGAATCACCGACTCGCCGTGCTTTGGCGCGCCACCACATACAGCCGTGGTGGCATACCAACATTTTGAGTGGTTTGTTTACACACCTGTAGCGTGACCCATGGGAGGGGTTAAAAAAAATATAAAACTATCTTGCCCCCCTAATCGCAACTTAACTAAGCCTCAAATCTAAGGTTTTTAAAGCCACAAACTACATTCCACTCTCTCCATGCAAAACTGTACAGCAATCAAAATGTATCTGAGAATAGTATTTACCTTTTCCGGTTTGAAACTGGGATGGCTGCCAGGTATGTCTGCCATAGAGTCATGGAGGGAGAGGATTGGCATCTCGCGCTGACGTGACGACTGCGAGGCTGGGGAACACGTACCACTCTGGAGCTGCAAGATAATGTGAAAACAATATCAAATTTGTTATTTTTATTAATTTCAGGCAAATCCTTATCAATAAATGACAGCAAACTAAAAACTGACATAACACTGATAATAAAAAAATATACTTTTATATCAATTTAGGTGACCTTTCGATACAAGGGGAGCAGAGGTTTATATTCAATAAAAGAAAGGGTTAGGCATTATTTTAAATTCACAGTTTATATGAAGTTTAACCAAAGCCACCTGGGAAAATGCTATGCTATGCTTTTTTTTTTTTCTTTTTTTTTATGTTTTCTGAACATAGATGGCTCTGCAGTGCTTAGCCACAAAGGAGTCCAATTAGTTAGACCTTGTGACCTTACCTGATTTCAGCTTTCCTTGAAAGTGGCAGGGAAGAGAAAAACATTTTTTTTGTTCTACCTTATGCTATGAAAATGGATGGTTTTATTTGTATTATAGACATTATAATAATATAATGTGTGTAAACATTAGTAACAGCAAAAAGATACCGTAATTATTCCGTACATCAAGGGAAAAAGGGTAAACAGGCTAGACAAGTAGTGCTCATAAATGGCTGATTGGTGACTTGGTACAAGTGTAACCACTATGTGTAAAAACAATTAATAAAGTAAACTCACAAGGGCATGGCATGTACGTACATGCCATTGCCTATTGACACTAATGGTAAACAAACATGCATTTACTATTCATAAAAACAGAAACAAAGTTCAAGGCCCTTCAATCAAAACAATTGTTACTGTTGTTGGAAACATGGAATACATAAATGACTGTAAACAATATTTCATTTTTCTGCAATAGCAAGCAAGTCACCAGAAAGAGTGACACCAGAGATTTTGGTACTGTCATCGTAGGGTTAACAGGAAATGTATGCACTGAAAATTTTGATCCTATCCTTGTTTGCACATATTGGGATCTCAGAAATCCCTTCTAAAAAAGGAAATTTTAAAACCCACAAGCCAAGAATGTGAATACTTGTGCCATAAAATTCATCATTTACAAAACAGATAAGGTCACAGCTATTAAAAAGTTTATAAAAATTAAAGAATAAAATAAATGAATTTTCATTTCATTTTCCTTCCAAAACTATCTATAACTATGGTATAATACTTTAAAATGTTCAGTGCCTTTCATATTGGTCCTCATTTCTATGTGAATATCTAGATTGCCAACTTCTGGTTTCCTTTTTTTTTTTTTTAATTCTATACAAATAGAAGCAATTAAAGAAATTCTTCTCATGATATCCATATCACAAATTTACAAATTTATTATAATATCCCTACTCAGGAATTCAAGTTTATACACATTTTTTAAGTTCATCACATATCATAATATCGAGGTGAAGCATAAAGAGAAGCATTTGGGCAGGGGGGGGGAAGCTTCACCCATGGATAATCCCAAAAAAACACTGTCCTTGAAATTACAAGGAAAAACACAATAAGTGTCAAGACAATGTTATTTTTTAGGGCAAATTAACTAAATATAGCCTTGAAAGTGATCACACTTGTTCCACAATAACCAGGGGATCCCTGACGGGCACTCTGAATGTCTGTCAGGTATAAGCAGGGGGATTGGTCACACTGTATAGTGTCACCATAGTGGTCTACAATAATCTCTTGGATGAAACTACACATAGGGCACACCTATGAGCCATCATGAAAAAACAATTCATCAGGCAGTGTACAGTTCAAGTTCCACAAGAAGTTCCACTACAAGTAGCAGACTCCCTGCGCCAAAATGCTAGATGGTTGACAGTCACCAGGGGGTTTTTTTTTTTTTTTTTTGGGAGAGTGACACAAGAGATCTCTGGTACTGTTATTGTAGGGTTAACAGAAATAGAAAAATCAACAGTAACATTCCAATAACATGTACCACTTTTAGTGTGATCAGTGATGATACAAGACGTAACTGTGGACTAATACAACTAAAGTTGGGTAGAGAAGTAAAATACTAATCACTGAAATTCGAGTTAAAATAATCATTAACTATCAATCTTGACAGTTGCATTGCAGCCATGAAAATATTAGTTGTGGCTGTGATTCCTATTGTTCTCTGGCTATTACTTGTCCACCAGCAACATGTCTTCAGTTGAGGAGTGGTGTGTGCATTGTATTGTGATGAAAGAATGTTATCTGTATAATCTAAAAAATTTATTGAGGAACGATTGTTAGTGGTTTAAACCATTGCCTCCAGGAGAATATGGGGTTCAATTAGCCTCCACTCAGGTAGTATGTTGCAGGTGACTAGGATTGCCTACTGAGGCCTTTGGTAGTTGCATTGCCGCCACCACACCAACAAAGTTTTGTATGCAAAACATGATTTAATGTTTTTGCATACTCAGAGACACATATACATTTTAGTTGAACAGATTGAATCTGTAATAGTCGATTCTGTACATTAGATCCAATTCAGTAAATAAGGTAGGTACACTCTATGTACAAAATTGAATGTGTTTTTTAACTGAAGGATAAAAAAATATTTAAAAATCACAATTTTCTCAAAAATGATTTATACGACATAAGATAATTCATGCCGTGATATATTCATGGTTGCTGGCATCATGGCTTCAGTACTTTCCATTATTTGTGTCATACTTCATGAAAGTCATATTACAGAGTGCCCACAAAGGCAATATGAGTATTTACACAACGAGGAGACAGAATCCGTAAAACAAAAGTGAAGGTTACTGACCGGTTCACATCAACAGCAAGAGAGTGCCATGTTTTGGTGTGTGACAGCTCCAGACATAGCATTATAATACATTTCATTCTCCCTCAGTCAATTTCCCATGGCATGTCATGTGGGTTGAGAGTTCCTTATAAAGAACAGCATATGTTCCACATATTTGTCAGCCATAAAGTGAAGACACGTCACCCAAGCAGGACCAAGTCAGCCCCTACTGAACTCCACGTCAACCATAGGATAAGAATTAACGTATATACTTGTTTCTACGTACATTATACCTAATATGATATAATAATCGTGTTCAGAACATTCAAGTATCAATTTTTTATAGAGTAGTATTCTTTTCCCAGCTGTGAAGAGACCAGATGAAATCCTGCCTGGAGTGGCACCGCTGTCTTGTCTTTCACCTCAGCTATACATTAAGAGAATTCCAAACAATTAATGTACTATAATTACTAGGAAGCTTACTGCTTGATTAATGTTCTTGTACATTACGGATTACACTAAAAGTGGTATGGTTTGTTGGAAAGACTATTGTCGTATTTTCATCTGAGAAATATTGGGTATTCAGAGTAACTGGCCCTGTTTTATGAATATACGATAATTAATAAAATGGATGGGTTGGCTTTTCTAAGTTGAGTGTCGTCTTTCTTGATTTTTTTTCAGTTTACAGTAAATGCAATGATATTCATAGATCCTGGCTAGCTTTGAGCAAAGTTCATCCACAAGGTTATTGAGACTGTTTTGGTCTTTTCAGGAACAATGCTTTTTTACGGAGGATGGCTGTGCATAGTGTAACCAATCCCTCTCTGTAGCTGAACAGACAGTGTGGTCTCGGATTCCAGACAGACAAGATAGTGTGACCACACCATTTGTTCCCTTTCAACCCCATACAAGGAAAGTCCCCTTAGTACCAGCAATGCGTGTCCACCCCTCATACTACTTTCTTCATTCACGAACTCAATCTGTCACTTCCTACATATACTACCTATGTCTCCTAAATTCCCTAACATCAACTTCATCACTGTTTCTTCCTTGCCTTACAGTCACAGTGACTTGGCAAAACTTCGGCATCATTCAATGTTTTTCTCAACTTTCTATATTCTACCACTGCAGCATCAGTTCATTTCATACCCTAAACCAAATATCATAAAGTATGTGATAATTCTCCATTGCATTCACATTTTTTATGCTTTACTGAGGCCTTAAACCATAACAAAACTCACGTTCACGATACCTGTGTGCCTGAGGATAAAGCATTAGCATTAGCACCATTGAGGCATGCTTGGTTGCATAGAGGAGCTGGCACTGTGAGGCCATGTTGCTGCTGGCCATTGTTTGTCCTATCCCGGGAAGCTGACCTCGTGCCAGCCACAGGATGACTGCTCGTGGCACTCCCTTTGGCTGCAGATCTGGACCCTGCCGTCCCTGGCCGGGCGTGGGTGGCTTTATTTCCCTGACCTTTGAGGTGGGAGGGGAAGGGGTGGTGACTGCAGTGAACACATTTGTTTTTTCCATGGTTTAGACAGTGGAGAGACAATGAGTCAGGAGGGCTACTGCTGGATGAAGAGACTGGATGCTGATTGGGTGAGGTTGCAGCTACACTCTCATAGTAACACAGTATTGGGGGGGGAATTGCCCAGCAGCATTGAGGTATTTTCGTCTTCGACGCGAGCCTCCTGCCCCGCAGTGCATGTTTGCCTGTTGAACTGTGGTAAGACAACGTCTGATGACTGCTCCATAACCTGTGAACAAAAATGTACAGTATCAACA